ACACAGCCAGCTTGGGAGGCTGCTGACAGATCATAGTTTTACATCAGGTGCTAACAAATTGATTATTAAATTTCATAACTAACTGATTTATAGCAACAACTTAATTTCTGTATCTCTCTAATGTATTCACTTACTGTATTTTCAAGTAGTGCAGAGCAGTTGGGTTGCTTTGTTGCTTCTAATGGTGAATTGAGCACAGCATATAAGATCTGAATGACTTGCCCAGTGCAAGGGTTAGTGATGTATCACAGACTTGTGAAGTGCACAAGATATTAGATGGTTTTCAGCTGAGATATTCACAATTGAGAATGTCCTTGTTAATTCTACATACTTTTTAACTTTCACTAAATTGTAGCTACACTTACCAACATGGTGAGAGTTTTCTAGAATTGCTGTATAGCTTGCAGTTAAAGCAGAGTATTCTTGAGTCTCAGTCATGCTGTGAAGGATAAGAAACAACAGTTACATGCTATGATGGAGCAGCTCATGTTCAAGTCCCAGTGCATACTTAGATTGTAATGGTACACCTCGTTAGCTCACTTGGTGTGAAGCAAATAACTGACTGAAAACATTTTATGGAGGCATAGAGTAAATTTTCAAAACACTCAGCAAGGATTTAGCTATACAGTGTTTCCAGAAATATCAAATAGGCATCGTGGTTAGAGGGAGCAGCTTGGTAATGTTGATACCAGGAGTAAACATTACAGAAAATTTTCCTTTGCTGCTGACATTTTTTCTTGGCCTTTGATGTGCCTTTGATATAGAATTACAAACTATTTTAAACCAAGGGGGGGATTTTTTTTTTTCTCCTTTGGCTCAGAAGGAAGCCTAATGTAGATCACAGCAATGTTTTTAATGAACTTGTGAAATCAAGGTCACTTAAAAATACTCCTGTCATAAAACAAAGCTGTAGTGCCAGATGTGTGGTGTGAATTGTCATGTATCTTAAAAATTTTGTTCCTGCATAATAATACGTTCAGTGATATAGAGCTCTGCACCATTGAGATTAGAATTTGTCATCTGTGGCTGAAATCCATAACTATGTGGCGGCTGTTACATAGGTAATCTCATTCATTTCCTGGTGTGTAAATGTCCAGGTCACAAAACCTTAGATGACAATTTTCAGTAATTGGACCTTTGTTGGCAGTCTGTCGACAGACACTGATAGCTTGATGGACCTGGATCCAAATCAGAGAGGTGGTTTTTCTGAAATGAAATGAAGCACAACAGCAGTACCTATGGATACGACCCTTTGGGTTTCTTTTCTGTGGTGTTTTCTAGAGAAATCAGTTTTTAACCATTTAACACCACTAATGCTAATTAAAAATAAAGGAATACTAAAAGGGACCCAGATATTACCTTTCAGTATGATATTAGTTTACAATGTCTCTGTATTTATTTTTGTATTTCTTCACAGATTTTTCTAGTAGGCTATTGTAAATACTTTTAACTTTATGGTCTCTTTAATCTTAATTACTTTTGCTCTAAAAGATTATAGCAAAATGTTGTTTGAAAAATACAAATCTCAAGAAAAGGACTGAAGAATAATTGTATTTCTTTTATAAAACCCAATTAAATGCTCTGACAATTTAAAAGTGACTATATTTTATAGTTTTATAATTCTAGAATAATCTTTTTAATTAACTAAGCCAACAGATTTAGGTTTAGAGTGCATATTTTGCCTCTGGTAGTTATTGTGTAATTAGTATTAATGGAGGATACTACAATTTGAATAGGTGGAATATATTTTTGGTTCATATGTGAGTCTTCTCTGTCTTACTGTGGTCTGTTCCTTCATAGTACATATGACAATTTTAAAAAGATCATAATTCTATTTGATAAGTGCCCTATTTGCTTTTGCAGGGAATGGTGATGATATTTTGTGTATGACTGCTGTACTCATGTGGGTCAGTTCTTGTACAGGAGGCTCTTATACCAAAAATTGCACCTATGTTGAAGAAACTTGTTCCTTTTTCCCAGCAGATTTACAAATATGTAAATTAATTATTGTTAGAGCTTTTCATAAACTTTCAGAAGAGGTGATATATCATCCAAAGTTTCCACACACGCACTCTCAAGCTTCATAAGGCTTTGTTTTCCTCTTGGCAGATGCATCTTGAACAGGCAAAATGAACTTTGTTTAAAACATTTTGATAAAATATGCCTCAAAAGATTGGGTACCTTTTAAAAAATATTATCCTGCATATCTTAGTAAATAGCCTGCTTGTGCTGTGTTGAGTGAGGCTGCAAATATGAAAAAAAACCCTGCCTTTTTTCAAGTTGGTTTGAACAGAGAGAGGAACCTTGCCTTTAAAGGAACAGCTCCCCTTTATTTTTGGTTTCTTTTGCAGGTGTAGTATGTACGAGAAGATATTATGTACATAAGTGTCACTGACCAAAAGGCAAATAAGAAATTCAGCACTTAGAAAATGAGCTTCCCAAAGCACACAGATGTTTAATACTGCTTCTGAAGCTTTTTGTTAAAATTTTCCAAGTTGGCACAGGTACAGATATTAGATTGTTAACTTCTTATTAAAGCAAACTACATTGGTAACTTCACAGTGGACTTGAAGTTGAAATTTATTTTAATAAGGAAATACAGCCTACTGTTTTTGTCGATACTTATGCAACTCAGTATTCATCTAAGGTGCATTTGATTACCCCAGAAATGTGGGTGGTTTTTTATTTTTTTAAAACTGGGCTATCAAAATCTGGGGTTTTCAGACATGCCTGAAGGAATCTAATTACTGAGGTTTGTTTGACAACCTGGGGCTTCATGTTTCACATTCTTTTCCAGAATTCCTTTTGCAGATGCTCAGAGTTGCAGAATATGTATCCTTCAACAATGTAGGAAAATTCTCTGACTCTGGGTCCCCTGTTCTCTTTTGTTTGCTGTGGTGAAGTACTTGAACAGAGGACAAGCAGCTATTTTTCCTGGTTGTGCTTAATTTATTAGCTTCAGAATTTGAGTTTATGTTGGGTGGTAGATTTTGTATCATGGGATTTGGCCATTGCAGTAAAGGTATAATAGGCTGGAATGGGCTAAACAAACAAACGTGACAGACCTTAATATTGTGGTGTTAGGACACCACAGATATTAGTGCACGGTTAGTGCAGGAATGAAAGGTATTTGTTTGGCTGTCATTATTTTGCGTGACCTTTCCCATTTAATTATATCAGGGCCAGGGATGCCAGACGCAGACTCTCAATTCTGAGGTTTTCAACTCCAGAACGCTTGCTGAGGTCTGCTTGCGTCACACTCTGACTCAAGGACAAGAATACACCATCAGTGCCAAGGTTTCCTTAGAGATGATACGATCTAGCAAATGTAGGTCCATCTGAGGTCCGAGAACCAGAGTCTTTGCTGTTATTCATAAGGATTTGAAAAATGACAAGAAAGAATAGAAAGGGTGTTTGTCCTTTATCTTGCTGAGGAGGTTGGGAAGGCTGCAAGGTGTGTAGCATCCTGAGATTACAGTGGAGACATGAAGGAGTTTGAAGTTTTCTGGACCTGATTCTTGAATGAGAGAGGTATGTGACAGCCTAGGTTCTGTTCTAGCTTAGTTTGATAGAATCTTACCTTTTGCAAAGCAAATTAGGAATGTTTCATTTCAACTTCCTTCATTGTGGCATTTCTATTTAAACTGGGTTAGCTGAGCTCAGCGAGAAGGATTCTGTGTCAAGGATCTTATATGTATTGTGTGCAGTTTTTCCACCAAAGATTACAGCTTCTGGATGTTGTTTTTATTTTCCAACTCTGTCTTTATCAACTTGTATTTTTTTAACAGCATACTTCACAAGCTGCGGAAGTATAAAACATGTGGGCCTTGTTGCATTGTGTCTTTATTTCTTAATCACTTTTGCCCTTCCGGTTGTGCAGATGCCTTGCATAGATATGTAACCCCATAAGAAAGCGATAGGATTTGCTTCTTCCCTAGGAAACGTTTATTTTCTAAATGCTCCAGAAGGAGACTGTTTCCTGATTACAGAGAGAACAGTGATCATATAATAGCAATCATACTATTGAGGTATTTCTGGTGACCTGCCCATGCATGTCAGCCATCCATCTGCTGATCGCTATTGTTGTGAATGTTCAGGACGTATCAAGCTTGCTATGGTCCTGTTGGTTCTCGAGATCCAAAGTGTTACCATTCTGCTTGGTATTTTTGAAGAAAGTGGAAAAGCTTTGCGGTCTTCCTCTGGTGGGCATCTTGAGATGACATGCAGTGGTGGGCTAACTTATTAAAGTAGATTTGGATAGTGAGAAAGACAGAGAGAAATTAAAACAACATCTTCTTCCCCCTCCTTCCACCCCTGCCCTTTCCCCAGGCTCAACTTCACTCCTCCATCCCAACTCCTCTGCCTCCCCCAGACTGCCGTGGCGCAGGAGGATGGGGAGTTGTGGTCAGTACACAACAACTTCTCTCTGCTGCTCCTTCCTCCTCACACTTCTCCTCTGGCGCAAGGTTGGGTCTCTCCGCAGGCGGCAGCCATTCAGGATACACCTGCCCCAGCGTGGGCTCTCCCCAGGCTGCAGGGGAGTCCCTGCTCCTGTGCCTGGACCACCACCACCTCCTCCTCCTCCTCATCCTCCTCCTCCTCCTCCTCCTCCTCCTCCTCCTCTCACCATGCTATTCACGCTGCTGTTTTCCACTTTTTTCCCCTCGTTCCTCTCTGCTGTGTGGCATGTTGCCTTTTCTTAAATAGGCTTTCCCAGAGGTGCCACCAACATCACTGAGGGGCTCAGCTGTGCCTTGTGGTGGGGCTGTGGCAGAACCGGCTGGGACCCGCCGGGCACTGCC